TTGCTATAGTATAGTGAGCGAGATGTAAACTAATAAAAAAGTATAGATTAGGCTTATATTTTGTCTTGAAATACTCACTAAATAATCTTAGTCTTAGGCCTTACTTAGCCTCAGACGGGGGGGGGGGGACGGACTTGAATTAATCCGAATGAATTAACCACCAGTCAGTATTCCATAATAATTTTATAAAATCATGCTATACGTCTGCCTATACTAGTATAATATCTATACTTAAATAAAAATTAATTTATAAATTAAATACCATTAATTTTATAATATTAATTAATATTAATAGAATAGGCTACAAAGGAGGCTAAATTTAAAATAACTTGTGTTAATAAATTAAGCACGATTTGTCCAAAGTTCCAAAGAAATGGATTGATTTTTAATTGATAGACAGTTATTTGGCACCGTCCATAGGTAGGCCTACATTAAAAAATTATTATTTGAATTTGTCATAGTCATGCCCATGCCAGTGCTAATCATAGTCATGTCATTGTTTAATATTAATGTTCATTGTTGGCAGTTGAAACAAAAACGGGCCGGATTCTCTTAATAGCCAACAATTTGAATCAATGAATGAGATCGAGGTCTGAAAAAGATATTTTGTTGATTGTAACAATCTTTGGTTAGATTTAAAGCTTTTGCATGCTCTTGTGACCACATTATCTGCTTTGCACTAGACTTGTTTAATAATTATCTATGAAGTGGTGATGTAATGTCTGAAAATTTAGTGATAAAATTAATGTAAAAATTGCATTTCACTTCTGTTTGATTTTTACATTCTTAATTTTATTATTTTAACAGATTATGTCACTAAAGTTTTTGCACACATTATTAACGTGTATTGTTATTGGGACAGACACAAGAAAGGGTACACTTTTTTAATAGAGAAATAAGAAGTTATGCATTTTGAGTGAGAAGCAAGCTGATATATTGAATGTTATTAATGATCAAAGAAGGGATTTAATATATTTTGATTGGTTTATATCACATGTCATCTGTTGATGTGTTTTTAAAAGTTGATGTATAGGATTATAATTGTTAATTCATAAAATTTAATAATTGTTAATTCATAAAATTTAATACATATATTGTGTGACGAATTTCAGTTATAATTAAAATTACATAAAATGGAAGATATAGTTTACTGAGAAGCTATATTCCAAGTTTTTTTATGATCAGTAATTTCAAAATGAATATTTGCTTGTATGTCAATTTCAAATATTAAATATTAATATTATTGTGATAGTGTGTTAAGTATATAATAAAATATAATCAATATCAATTGATCCACTAAGCTTCTTTTATTATAACTCATAAGTTGATTGTGGTTGTGAGAAAGTGTGGTTGTGACACAATAGATGCTTGGCGATGTCCCATAACTATTCAATCAGTAACTGGATAGATACATACAAATATTAAAACAGTTACACTTCTAAAATCATGAAATAATTTTTGTACATGAAACTACTTTGTATATTTTTTGGCTGCATTGAGTTAACATTTTATTACATTAATCAATGGATTTTCCGAAAAATTTGTTAAAAAGGCACAAATATAGTGGATATCATCTATGTTTTTCAAATTCCAGGAAATGATACCATCAAGTATCTTAAAAGATTTTATTCTGCCAATAGCACGCTCTACATGGCAACGATGTGAGGACACTTTTTTATTTTCACACCGTTTGTCAATGGGAAACTGTATTTTGTCTTGTAAAAAAAATGCAGTAAACAAAGTTACATCTCTCCTAACAAATTCATTTTCTAGGACAGTAAAACCCCTATCAGCTAGTACAGTTTCCCCTGCTTCCAACTTATCTAAAATACCACTATTTATTGTTATTTCCTTATCGGAAATGCTACCTAACCATAAATCAGATATGAAACTCACACCACCACTGAGAGCAATACCTATTAGCGATTTATATGTGTTATGATTTTTGTAGTAACTAAAACTTGACTGTTGGTGGGTTGGATTGGATGGCTGTTCTACATATAATTCTGTACAGTCTATTATTACTCTACAAGTGGGGAATGTTTTGTGAATCGCAGGGGGCATGAAAGCATTGACTTGCTCTCGACTAGGCCAAATATTAACAGAATTTAATTTTTGTCGAATTATGCTAATGCTATTTTAAAATTTTTTATTAACTGTAGCACGAGATATCCTAAATATTGTAGCTAAAAAAGTTTCCCCCACACCCTGTCTAAGACGAATTAATGTCAATAAAAATCTATCTTCTGGAGTCAGAACATTTTTATTGTACAAAGACAAACTATTGGACAGTGTAAAGAAATTGAAAATACAAAAAAACTCTCTTTATTAAAGCCTGTCAGGGACTTAACGTCATCATCTTGTAAATTAACTAAACTAAAATGCATTTCAAGACTAACTATTTTACATTGTAAGGAGTCAATCTCCATTTCTTTTTCTTTTATAAAATTCCTAATTTCTTCAGCTTTTACTTTTAATTGCTCCTTCAAGCCATCTATCTCTGCTTGAAGTTCCCTTGTTGATGGAGCAATTTCCTCTTCACGACCCGGTAGCATAATGTTCTCATCATTTTTGTGTGTTTCAGATCTAAATAAAAATAACAAAACATATATGCTTTATTACTTATTTGAAATTTAAAAAAATTATTTTAAACATTTAAATTCTACTTATGTCATGTCTTATTTTAAAAACTAAAATTAGTAATAACTTATGCTATGGCAACATAATTACCCAAATGTGCTCCTTTTTCTTTTTGCTGGGGATGGCACTGTCACATGACAAAATTTCGATGGAACAGCTCCAGTTTTCATTTGTCGTCTACCTATAAGTATAAGAAAAAAGCACCAAAAAAATTATAATTTAGAAAATTATCTGTTAAATTTAAAGCCTATTTCAATTCTATTTATTTAATGTCAAGAAAATGTCAAAATGTATATTTTAAACATTAAAATTAGGCCCAGAAAAATTATAAATTAGTATTTTTATCAAACAGGCACATGAGAATAATGAATAGGCTTTGGCTATTGGTAGTTTACTATTAATAGATTCTAAGAGGCTATTGGTAGTTAACTATAAAAAAAA